CGGGGGCAGGCTTTTTTTTTTCTTAGTGGCAAGGGGATCCAGGTACTCCCCAGCCTTCCCTCCTGCTTTGCTTCCCAAGTCCCAGCAAACCCCACGGCGTTGGCCATGATGCTACCCCAGATCCCACCACTAGGGGCACTCTGATTGGCTGGGCCAGCTCACATGCCCTTCTCTGGATGTGGCCTGGGGTCAGCTGGACAGAAACACATGGGTGTTTAGAGGATGAACATTCCTCACCAGGAAGGTGGGTTGTGGTGTCAAAAGAGGGGGGCTGGGCATCCAGAGCCCCCCTGAAGGGCATCAGTGTGGCCCTAGAGTTTCAGAGGGAGTGTGGTGCAAAGGCTCAGAGGGGAGCCTGGTGGCCAGGTTGCCTGGGGTCATATCCCAGTTCTGCATCTTATTTGGGTCCAGATTAGTGCCTGGTGCAAAGTTAGAGCTCTTCCTCACCATCTGTGTGCTTGGCTTCCCCTAACATGTGCAGTGCACAACTGGTACACCTGTCCTCGGCAGTTCTGCTCAATGATTATAAACCGTTTTCTCACCCATTTTGTGGATGGGAAAAAACCTAAGCTCAGAGAGGCTGAGAAACCTACTTAAATAGGCTTATCAGGAGAGGGCTAGGGCTAGAACCAGATTCTGCTTGACCTCTGGGTGGTTGCTAACCTTCATGAAAAGATATCCAAAGTCTTTGCTGTCCAGAGTCCCCCTCATGGTAGAGGAGGAGGCCATGTTGAAAAATGCAGTGCCACCTCCTCTTCTCCCTTCTTGTGGTGCCAGATGATGCTCGTCTCATCTTCCCTGGGGCTTCCGGCTCCCAGGACCTTGGCCTCTTCCCAGGAGTCCGGGCCTCACCGAGTGTCTCCTGCCTACGCTGAGCAAGGCTCGGTGGCTGCGAGAGATCGGGAAGAATGTCCCAATAGCCACGGTGTAGGGAGGCCTGGGAATGGGCACTGTGCCCACTTACAGGAGGACAGCACCAAATCTGGACCCCACGGCTGCCTTCAGGGCATACCTGGGAGGGACTTGCTGGTTCCATTAGTGTCCCTACAAGGACCGATCAGCAAGAGGGACGTTCCCAGCTGATTTTGTGCTTTCCACCCACGTGCTGGGCCGCGTCCTGCCAACTTCACAAAACGCAAAATTGGGAAGAGAAGGACAAAGCTGTGGCCCTGCAGGGCAGTCACACCAGCTGGGCTGCTGAGGTCCCCTGGGTCCCGCCCACCGCCCACCGCCAGGTGGGGGACGTGCCAGTCTGGGGTCTTCCCCTCACCTGAGCCTCTGCACCGCGTCATGACGTTCCACTGAAGCCGGGCGGCCTGGCGGGCAGGTTGTGCTGGGGACTTGGAGCTGACAGGGACTGGGCCAGCTGTCACCTTGTCCGGATGCCAGGCTGGCTGCCAGGGAGAGAGGGAGGGGATGGTGGCCCTTCCTGGAGCCCCCGTTCCTCGGCTCCCCGATGGCTCCCGCGGGGGCCCCCAGGACTGGGCTTCAGTGTCCAGCCAGCGTTGTGGCCACCGGGCTGATGGTGGCCCTGCTGACCAGCTCGCTGCCCGGCTCCGTAAACCACATCCCACAGCCGCGGGAGGGGAGTCTCGTCCAGGGCTGCTCTGGCCCGGCCCTCCTGGTGACCGGAGCCGCGCAGCTGGGCTTCTTCCCGCTCCCGAGGGTGTGGCAGAGGAGAGCCCTGAGGGGCGGCGTGAAGGTGGCCTGAGCAGAGCCCGGGAGGCCCCGCTGGGGAAGCTGTGGCGCTGCCCACGCGGATGCCATTAAGTCCAGACCCCCTGACGCGGCTACCTCGGGGTCAGCGACCCCCTCCACTCATCCCAGGTGGTCAGGAGCTTAGGACCATCCTCAAGGTGGTCATTGTCCCAGCCGTGGGACCTCGGCGGCTGCCTTTCTTCATCTCTAAAATGTTACTGAGTCCCCTCCCTTCTCTGGGGACTCAGTCACAGTCATGGCAATAGCTGCCACCAGGGTCTTCTTTTGGGGGGGTACAGGGATTGAACTCGGGACCCTCGACCACGGAGCCCCGTCCCCAGCCCTGTTCTGTGTCTGACTTAGAGACAGGGTTTCACTGAGTGGCTTAGGGCCTCACTGTTGTTGAGGCTGCTGTGAACTCACCATCCTCCTGCCTCAGCCTCCGGAGCTCATGTGAGGTGCCGGGACCTGGCAGGTTGGGCTCCAGAGCCCAAGCTTTAGTGGCACGCAGGACGAAACGGGGCACCCATCATTGCCTGTCTGTGGTGGCCTTCTTTCTCTCTCCTCTGCAATGTACTTGTGCATGTCTGGAAGGTTCCAGAAAAGATGCAGGATTTCACAGAGTGACGTGTGGGTGCCACCCGGCTATTCAAACCCTGAATCACTCCTTCTGCAGCCCCCGCCCTGGTCCAGACCCGGGGACGGCCTGAGCAGCTCCCACGGGATCCACGGACCCCCCTGAGCCGTCGGCTGTCCCTGCCGCAGGGCCTGCTGGACCGTCAGTCCATCCTCGCTGGGGACAGAAGAGCACAGGGTCAGAGGAAGGAAGCGTTCTGATCTTGCCCCACAGACCACCTGGGAGGTGGGGATGGAATAGGGCCTGAGTGCCCCAGGCTCTGGGGACTCTGGGATCGTGCAGATGGAACTCTGTTAGCTGTGTGACCTCATCCCCGACGGCCCACCTGCCGCCGCCTGGACCCCCATTCCATTCCCCACGCGCCCACCATGCGGATTCTGCCATTTCTTCTCCCTCCCACCCTCTCCACCCAGTTGGAGCGGCCCCATGGTCCCCTGCTGGAGGACCACAGCAGCAGCCACACCAGGGTGCCCGGTTCTCCTCCCACCAAAGCTCTCAGCCAGCACAGAGAGGCCATGCCGCCGACCTCCTTAGACACCATCGACAACTCCCCTAAAGTCACATGTAAGCTTTCTGGTTCGGCTCACACGCCTCCCCACTGTGACCCCTGTGCGCATCTTCATCGACCCTCCCCTGCACTCTCTGTACAGCTGTCCAGTCCCACTGGCAATCTCTCTGTTTTCTCAAGGCTACATCTGTTCCTGGATCTGCCCCAGGGCCTTTGCACCTGCAGTCGCCCCATGAAGGAGCGGTTCTTTCTGTGTCTGTGTGTCCTTTAGGTCCTGGCTTTAAGGCTCTTCCTGACTGTGGCCCCCAACTCCAGGAGAGGCTCGCTTTGCCCCTCCTGCCTGCAGGGGAGCCTTCCTTCCCTCCTCCCAGGCCTGTCCAGGTGTCTCCTGCTGGAAGACATTTCCTTGTCTCTCACGCTCGCCATGCCAGTTACCTTCCTACAAGACATCGTTCTCCGTCTCGATCCCCATCCCTGTGGGAAGTGAGCCCCACGTCTGCTCGGAGCCCGGCCACAGGAGTGTGCTGTGGTCACAGCCTTCCAGGGCAGTGGCTTCGTGGGCCATGGCTCCTGATCACGGACAGGGCTGGACCTCGAGGTGCCACCTCTGAGAGCCGCAGGAGCTGGGCAGGGGCTGGGGGGGGCGGGGATCCAGGTCCAGAACCCGCCCAGCCCTGCCGCTCCAGCCGCCGCCCCTCACCTGGAAACGGGGCATTTGCAGAGTGGCCCTCACAGACCACCTGAGGGTGGAGAGCAGGCGAGTGAGTCCCCTTGACATCTGGAGCCCCTGGACGGTCAGGAAGGTTCTCTTTGGTTGGAAGGAGGTGAACGTATTCCCCGGGGGGGCTCCTCTCAGGGAAGGCCCCTCTGGATCAGCCAGGTGTCTTTGCACAGCCTCTGTTGTGATGTTCCCTTGGGTAGGTCACAGGGGCCCCCACCCAGTGGCCGCAGGGACGGGAGATGAGCATGCCACCTCACCAGGACTCTCCATATGGTCTTGCCCTCTCATTGCCACCTTAACACCATTAATCCCCTTGGAGACGGTGGCCTGGTGTGTTAAGTGTGCTGCTCTGGGAAACATTTGTCTTGTCTCTGTTCCTTAGAGCTGTGTGGCTTTGGGCCAAGCAATGGCCCTCTCTGAGCCCCAAGTGTTTTCCTTAGGTGGTTTTCTAAGATTGTTTTCTGTTTGGAGAATCTGGAGTTCAGGAGTCAAGGAGTCAGTTGCAGAGTGGACGTAGTGTTTGTGTGCAGATATGGGTTTCTCCACGGAACACACCTGACTCGTACCTGTCTTGAAGACCCTGCTTTGCCGTTGGGCACAGGGATGAGGAAGAAAAGGGCGAGAAGGAATGTCCATTTAGCCGATGGCTCTGAGCCTTGGGGAATCTAGTGTGGGCTGTGAACCTGGGAGAGAGCTCTCATGCAGAACATTTTGCTTTTAAAAAGAAATTCACAGCCAGGTGCAGTGTGCACACCTGTCATCCCAGTGGCTCAGGAGGCTGAGGCAGGAGGATCATGAGTTCAAGGCCAGCCTCAGCCACAGTGAGGCCCTCAGCAGCTCAGTGAGACCCTGTCTCTAAACAAAATGCAAAACATGGCTGGGGACGGGGCTCCGTGGTCAAGGGCCCCTGAGTTCAATCCCCGGTACCTCCCACCCTAAAAAGGAACTTTACAGACCCCCTTTTAATCCTGAACCTGGTGAAGTAACTGTCCTGGGCAGGTTCCCGCTGACCGTCAGGGCACCTCCTCCAGGACACCTCCCAGGACTATTCCCAGTACCCCGTGCCGGCTCCCTGTGGTCCCCAGGGGGTGGCCACTGCCCATCCCTGCCTGTGTCCCCACGGGGAGGGCAGGAGCCTGCTGGTCGCACGCCTGGCCCTGAGTGTGTGTCACAGACCCCTGCTGGGTGGGACCGAGTCCCAGCCCCCGTCACTGCAGGGGTCGCACGGCTCCTTTCTCGGGCAGCCAGTGACCTTCTGGGTGGCTCTGCGCCTGGCTGCCTCGGTGCAGACACGTGTGTGTCCCCAGCTGCGTGATGAACGGCGTGGAGTCGGGAGGGTGAACGTGCCGCTGCCCGGGGGCTGGGCTGCGGGGCTGGGGCAGGACCTTCCGGGGCCTTTGACGGGGCTCCTCTCCCCCTCCCCCCGCCTGGTCCAGCTGGAACAGAGTGAGGCCAAGTGCGAGGACGCCCTGAAGACCCAGAAGGCGCTGACCACGGACCTGGAGAACATGCACAGCGAGTTAGAGAACATGACCCGGAGCAAGAGCCTGGTACTGTCCCCCCTCAGCCCGAGACCATAGGAGGGGCAGGGGCACCTAGAGTGGACCTATTGGGTGTCACCTGGGAGGGACGGGCATTCATTGTAGGCCTACTGGGTGCTCAGCTCTGTAAGAGGGGCAGGGGCACTTAGTGTGGACCTACAAGGTGCTCGGCACTTTGACTGCAGGCATCCTACTGTGCACAGAGATTCATTACGGCTAAGGGCATCTAGAGGGTCAACTGTGCGCTCTACCTGCAAAGGTGCACAGGGAAACACGTGGGCCTACTGTGTGCTCATACTGTGACGGTGCATCCAATATGAGCCTGTGGTTCGCTCAGCACTCCGAGTGCGAGCTTTTATCATGAGCCCATGGGGTGCTCAGCACTGTGGGTGGTTCTCAGGCCTCTGCTGCAGTCCTACCGTGTGCTTGCCACCATGAGAGAACTCGGTCCTTATGGTGTGCTATTTCATGTGTTCCCCAATAAAGTAGAGACCAGGACATCTTTTTACTACTGTGAAGAGAGCCATTTATTGTGCACCTACTGTGTGCTCACCACTGAATGGGGAGAAGTGAGCACACACTGTGGGTCTAGTCTGCTGGGATGGGGTGTGCTTTTCCACATCCCTGTCTGCACAGGATGTGAAGGGTTCATTTAAATTTATATTCGGGGTGTAAAAGCCTCGTGTTTGTGCAGAGCTGGGGATTTATAGGCAGAAGCTTATCTCTTGGTCCTGTTGGCTCTTTCACCCTATATATATATATATATATATATATATATAAGTTTTTTTGCACTAAATTAAGAAGAACTTGCCCACAAACACATGTACGTACACACAGGGATGTGCTTACACACACTCACAGTCACTAGACACACATCTCAAATCAATGCCCCCACGGGTAAAATACACAATCACACCTGTCCATCTACCTAATAGGCATTTATTGAGCACCTACTATGTACATGAGGCCTGGTGCTTAGTGCTGGAGATGCACCTGTGAACAGACCCAAGTCCCTGTCTTGAGGGAGATCACAGGTGGCACTTACACACACGGGCAATCGCACGGAAATGTGCCTGTGTGGATTCTGGGGAAGGGGCTGTCACAGGCCTCAGTCTATTTATGATGCAGGCTGCACACTGGCCTGAACGCCCAGTGTGTGTGTGCACCCCCCACACACACACCCACACACACCCGCACACACGCACAGAGTGGCAGCACCAAGCATTGGCACCCACTGTCAAGGGAGTGACCCTCACGCGCACCACGGGCAGGCACCCTCTGCCCTCCAGCTCTGCCCCCCTCACCGCCCCGCTGCCCCTCAGGTGGACGAGCAGCTGCACCGGCTGCAGTTCGAGAAGGCGGGCCTCCTGAAGCGTATTGACGAGGACCAGGACGACCTGAACGCGCTCGTGCAGAAGCACAAGGACCTCATTGCTCAGGTGCCAGGGCTCCGTGGGCAGGGCGGGGCGGGACACGGTGATGGGGGGCCACTTCCTGGTCCTAGGATTTTGCAGGACAGAGAGGATCTGTAAGTGCCCTGTGCCCTGTGGGAGGAGGACGTCCCCTCTGTGCAGTGCGTGCACCCCTGGAGGACCTGGCCCCAGGAGGAGTTCCGCTTGGTCACACATCTGCCCACTCCCCCACTCCTCTGTCCACCCATCCGTCATGCACCTGGCCACCCAGTATCCACCCATCTGTCCATTTTCCCGTCCACCCTGTTGTACTCACTGCTGTGACTAAAAGTCCCGACAGAACAATGTAGAGGAGGAAAGGTTTATTGAGGGCTCCTGGTTCAGAGGTCTCAGTCCAGAGACAGCAGGCTCCATTCCTCAGGCTCGAGGTGAGGCAGGACATCGTGGAGGAAGAGGGTGGCCGAGGAGAGCAGCTCACGTGGGGACCAGCAGGCAGAGAGACTCCACCCTCCAGATACCAAATACACACCCAAGAGTCACACCCCCAACGCCACCCCCTCCAGCCACCCCCCTCCTCCAGTTACCACTCGGCTACCCCATCAGGGGACTGGTTCCCTGGGTCAAGACTCCGCACCCAATCATGTCTCCTCTGGCCTTGCATTGGCTCACGTGAACTTTGGAGGCACGCCTCACATAACACCCCTTCTGTCATCCACCTACCCACCTGTCCCTCCATCTGCCCACCCAGTCACCCATCCATCCACCTGCCTGATCATCCCTCCATCCCTCCGTCCATCCACCCTTCCCTCCATCCATCCATTCTTCCTCCCACTTACCCGTTCACCTACCTGTCTAGCTATCAGCTATCATCTGTCTCTCTGTCTCTCTGTCTGTCTGTCTGTCTATCTAATATTCACCGAGGACTGGTTCTGGATCAGGCACCATGAGGCACACCATGTGTCGTTCCCAGTTTTGTGGCTGGACAGACTGTATCATATAATCACCCAGAGCCGAGGGGAGACTTTTAAACCAAGCAGAGAATCTAGAAAGGAAATAAACATGGTTCTATGAATCCTGACCTAGGTGGGGATCAGGGGTCACCCTGGAGGTGGCACTTGGATAATGAGATTGGGATGGGACAGTGGGGTGTGAGCAATGTCCTAGGCAAAGGGCCTGTGGTGAGCATTTGAGGAGATGTAAGGAGGCCCACGAGTTCTGGAATATGGCCCAGGTAAGCTCCGCAGGCCAGGAGGGGAGGGCCAGTGAGGGTCTCAGAGGTGTGATGTTTGGGCTTTATTTGGGGGTGACGAAGATCATTGGCAAACATTTCAGGGGCAAGTGCAGTTGGAGAGAACCTGATAGGGTGTCACCCCAACTGTCAGCTCCACGGGGACAGGGCTGTGCTCTGCCTTGTCCAGCCCTGTATCCAGCTGAGCTCAGAACAGTGCCTGGCATGGAGTAGGTTAAGTAAATAGCCACCACATGATTGAAAGGGGGAGAGGCCACTGTGGCTTGTACCAGGCAAGTGGGGTGGCCAGGAGCACTGGACTCGGGAGCCACTCAGGAGACACAGCAGCAGCAGAGAGCAACACAGGAGCTTGGGGTGGAGGGGTGTGGGGAGGACTCCCCTGCAGATTCTGATCTGCGCAACTGAGGAACAGCTCCTCCCACAGCAGGGGGCATCCTGCTCACAGCGTCCCTCCAGAGGAGAGCCGGGGAGAGCACCACCCAGGTTTTGCTCTAAGAAGCTCTCTGCTAAGCAGGAATAACACAGATACTCAGTGTGCATACCTGTCATCTCAGGGGCTCAGGAGGCTGAGGCAGGAGGATCTCAGTTCAAAGCCAGCCTCAGCAACAGTGAGGCCCTAAGCAGCTCAGTGAGACCCTGTCTCTAAATAAATACAGAATAGGGCTGGGGGTGGGGCTCAGTGGTCGAGGGCCTCTGAGTTCAATCCCTGGTACCAAAGAAGAAAGAAAGAGAGAGACAGAGAGAGAGAGGAAGGAAGGAAGGAGGGAGGGAGGGAGGGAGGAAGGAAGGAAGGAAGGAAGGAAGGAAGGAAGGAAGGAAGGAAGGAAGGAAGGAAGGATTCTCAGTGCTCTCACCAAGAGTTTAACAACCACGACATCCTCTGTGTCGATGAATCACTCACTTTTGTCTAAAATGGAAGTTTATTTGTTCAATTTCAATAGTGGCTCCTGCATATTCCCACTACAGATCATCTAGATAAGAAACCTACATTATTTTCGTGGCAGTGAAGAGCTGTCTTAGCCTCAGGAATTCCTCTCCTTGGAGGTACACAGCTCAGTCACCGGCTGTCCTTTTAAAGGGTCTTTATTCTCCACCACCTCCTTTAACCTCCGAGGGCCCAAAGAGACGCTATCACCCCATCTCACAGATGGGGAGACTGAGGTGCAGAGGGGTTCCCTGACTTGCCAAAGCCATGTCCAGGTCCAGCTGCCCGTTACCCGGCCCTGTCCCTGGGGATCTGCTCCTCAGGCCGGGGCCAGCTCATTCCCGTCTGGGCTCCCCGGGGTGAATCATAACGTCCCGGACAGTGGACCAAAGCTCAGGCTGAGACAGCTGGAGGACTCAGGGAACGCTGAGATGAAGGGTGTGGGAGGATGTGAGAGGTGACTGTGGGGCAGTGACGATGGCGCGTCTGTGGGTGGGAGAAGGGATTCTCGGGGCTGGGTGCCCAGGAAGCCCCAGGGCCTCACGGCCACGTTTTATTTGTGTCTCACCAGTCGGCTGCGGACATTGGTCAGATCCAAGAGCTACAGCAGGAGCTGGAGGAAGCCAAGAAGGAGAGGCACAAGCTTCAGGAACAAGTGTGTGTCGGGAGCCGCCATGTTGGGCAGGAGGGCAGGGTCCCCGGGCTCCACCTCTGGGCCGGCCACTCACTGATTCATGGACTGATTCCTTTCCTCACTCACTCCAGTTGTGGCCCAGTGACTTTAGAACAATCCAGGAGACAGACAGACAGACACATGCACACACTCATATCCCTTTTCCCAAGATGCCCCATACAATGAGGCGCATTCACCGGATATTCAGTACAGGATTCTGTCCTGCTGAGAAATGGCTCCACGGGGAAGGGCTTGGTCAGTGCAAGACAGGGTCACGGCCCATCGTGGTCCCTCCAGAGTCCCCTGCTCCCTGTCGTTACCTGGTGGGTTGCTCTCTCCATGAAATTTTCAAAGTCCTTCCAGAACCATTGCATGTGCCTGCTTAGAGTGACCGTCAGGGTGACCAGGTTTCAAGCAAATGTCCCTGGGCACTGAGTAGCAACAAGAATAACAAAAATTGTAGCTGCACTAGCCACCGGCTGGTACTCACTGAAGGAATGCTCAGTCCTCACAGTAAAGACGAAGAGACTGAGGTTCAGAGAAGGGCACTGGATGGCGGGGGGTTCACCCAGCTGCAAAATGGCGGGGCCAGGGCTGAATCTTGCTGCTTGTGGACTAGTTTCACTCCCTTATTACGCCAGGGAAGGAAGCATAAGAAAGACTGAACAAAAGTCTTGTTTGGGTTCTGGAGTCACAGAAAGCATCTCCTCCCAGCACCTGACACCCAGGGGTGTCAACAGGGGTCATCCGATCGGGACCCGGAGGTTCTAACTTGTAGTCATTCCCCGTGTGGCACTTGTGTAAAGAAGGAGGTGGGCCCTGGGGCTGGGACCTGCGCGTACCTGTGTCCTGGGACTTGGGGCCAACAGGTGACCAGTGGAACCCTCTGTGCCTCAGTTGCAGGTGGCGGAGATGCGCGTCCAGTACCTGGAGCAGTCCACCGTGGACCGCGCCATTGTCAGCAGGCAGGAGGCAGCCATCTGCGACCTGGAGAACAAGACGGAGTTTCAGAAAGTGCAGATTAAGAGACTTGAGGTACTGGTGACATGTCAGCAGGGCTCGGGCCTGAGCCACTGGGGCTTGGAGGGAGCCCAGCCACCCCACCGGCCCGGCTAGATGCTCAGGAGCCTCGGCTGGACAGACATGACAGATCCACCTCCTCTCCCCTCCCCTCCCTCTTCTTCTCTGTACATTCCCACCACCCACCTGGCCATCCACCCACCCATCTCCACCCATCATCACGGTCCGTCATCCACCTCCCGCCATTTTTATTTCCTCTGCTCGCTCTTCTCTTTTATTCAGACCCCAACTCCTCTGCTGCCCACCTTTCTATTCCGTGATTCGGTTCTTCCCATGCCCACCTGCCTGCTCATCCAGTTACCTGCCCAACACTCCCCCTGAACAGAAACTCATCTTGCACCCAAGGAGTGCTCGCTCCTGTGTTGGGTGCCCAGGGGATGGACATGGGGAGCCTACAGCTCCGCAGGAGATGCCCAGGGTGACCTGTATTCCGGGGAGGAGGCTGTGAGGTTGAGAAAACAGGGATCTTTTCTAAAAAGGAAAGCTGGAGAATCATGGAAACTTCCAGGAGGAGACGGCATTAATGCTGGACCTTGAAATGCAGGCAAAAACGTGATGGTCTGGATGGGGTTCACTGATGACCTTCACATTGACCTTGAGCCGAGAGCTCAGGTGTTTGTTTGCCTTCTAGAGTAAAAGGGAGGGGAAGAAAAATTAGAAGCGGGGATGGGTAGATGGACCAGTGATGGAGATGAACATAAAGAGACAAGGAAGAGAGAGATGGAAATGGGTGGGGAAATGAATGGCTCTGTAGGCCAAGGACACGGGACACTTACAGAGGACATCACCATTGTGAAAATACTCTCACTTCAGCCAGTCTGCTTGATGCAGCCCTGGGGGGGCAGGCAGAATAGGCCTCGTCCAATGAGGAAGAACAGGCCAGAAAGGGCAAGTGACCAGAGAGTCAGGAAGGGCATAGATTGACAGTTGACCTTCACCCCACCCTGGGCCGGCTCCCTGGGGTCGGACAGAGCATCCGTCTTCACAGAGCCCAGCTGCACTCCTCATCTGAAACATTTTCTCAACTCCTCTAGGGGAATCCAGGCTCTAATAAGGCTGCCGAGGGTGGAGACAAAGAGACATTTTTCTTGGCCTTGACCCTCAGTGGTTCTCCATATGGCTCAAGGGATCCCTCAAGGCGCAATTGTCTCTGTGGATCATCATGAAACTTCGATGGGCTGTGTGTTACATGATGACCTGCACCATGTTGCACTGTTATCTGTTTTAAAATTCAAATACAGTCAAGTAAGAGCAAAAAAACCAACACCCTGGTCCAGTGGTGTCCAAGCTCATCCCCATCCACCGCCATCATTATTTGAATTGAGCAGAACCCCAGGTCCCTACTGCAGAGAGACAGGGCGGACCCTGGGGACACATTTTGAGAACCACTGTTCCCCCGTACACCCCTTGCTGCTCTCTGAAATTGCTGCTAAACTCCCTTTGAAAGATGAAGAGGAGCTGGAGGGTGAAGCTCCCCTTCAGGCTGTTATTCAGTGTCTGCTCTGAAGCCTGTTTCCCCCCATCTGTGGCTCTGGAGAAGGAGCTCAGAGCTCTCAGCAGGGGCTTGAAATATTCATGCGGGGCCCTGCTTATGTCAACACGGTGTGTTTGCCCCTCAGGATTGATTGGTTCCAGGCTTGTTGGCCTCCTAATGAATTCGCAGAACAGCTTTTGGATTTGTTTTCTGCAGCACTCGTGATGCCCAAAGCACTGTTTTCTCTATTGTTTTATTTTGTCCCCAGAAATGTAAAAATATCCGTATTAGGGCTGAGGCTCATCAAAGACGACCCGATCAAAGGCGCTTGTTTTATAAATCCAGAATCCAAAACCCACAATGCAGAAGGGATTTGGACCTCCCAGGATAGTTCTCTCTTCAAAGCACCAGTCCACCTCCCAGAACTTAGGATGAAGGGGGGCTGCCGTAAACATCGACCCTTCTCAACCTTTCCAACCCTTGTCCAGCACACCCTCTGTGCCAGGCACTGGGCTAAGCCTTCTTCACTTTACGAGCTGGATCCCAGCAACACGGGGAAAATCATCATTATCTCTCAGAAAAGTTCAATAATCTGCCCAAGGTCACACAGCCAGGAAGAGGTAGCAGAGGGATTCAAACCCAGAGCATCAAGGGCATCAGTGTTTCACTGCCTCTCAGAATAGCAGTTACCATTTTCAAAGGAGATTCCTCATTTTTGATTCAGAAATCGGGATTCTCCTGATGACTCTAGGCAAACACTGAGACTCAGTAAAGGATTCTGGTTCCTGAAGCCTCTTCCTCTAAGACCCGCACCTCTCCCTCTCTGCCCCTCCCTCCCAGGTCCTGGTGATCAGACTTCGGGACAGCCTGATCAAGATGGGCGAGGACCTGTCGCAGGCCCAGGCCTCCGAGTCCAAGCAGCGGGAGAGCAGCCAGTACTACCAGCGGCGCCTGGAGGAGCTGAAGGCAGACATGGAGGAGCTGGTGCAGCGGGAGGCGGAGGCCAGCAGGAGGTGCATGGAGCTGGTGAGTCGTGTCGCCACGCTGGCGACTGAGGGTTTGGGCTCCCGAGAGCCCTCCTTTGTTGGGACAGGGAAGGCCTTCCTCGTGGAGACCTAAGGGCTTGCCTCCTGGACCTTTGGGGCCCACTTGGAGAAACAGGAGGGGATGGGGCTGCGGGACGACGCTGCCACTGGCTACAAACCACGGGGGCGTGGCCACAGTGGACCAATGGCATTTGTGCTGCTGGAGGGCCCTGAAGCGCAGGCGCACTCAGACCAAAGCTTTCCGTGGCAGGGCGGCCTCGCGCAAAGGGGAGGGAACCCGCGTTTTCAATGTCTTTTGCTGTGTCTTAGCATCCTTTGTGTCTTGTACTCCTCCAGCAACCCTGTGGGGTCAGAATCTCTACCCCCATTTTACAAATGCGGAAACTGAGGCTTCAAAGAGGGGAGATAATAGTCTCAGGCCTCATCTAGTAAATGTGAAGTTATTTCTGAGCTATTAACAGTAACGACAGATATAAAATATAAAAATAATGATAAAAGCCACCATGTATGAATCATTTGCTACATGCCGGGTGAAACATTCCTTGTCTGAATCCTATCAGAACTGTTAACGTAGGTGCCATTATGTTTTACCATACGAAGATGGGTAAACTGAGGCACAGGGACATCAACTTGCCAAATGGAAGCTCAGAGTGGCGCGTTCACTTGCCCAAGGTCACACGTGAACAAAGATTTGAATCCAAGTCAGCCCAACTCTGTAGTGTATGATTTTAGCCACTAAGTCGTGCTTTGACCCCAGTGTGATCCAAAGAACATTTTAAGATTTGTTCTCTGTCCGATGGGATGGTTTCTGTGACACTCAGTGTGTTTTGTTTTAAGAACAGGAATCGGAGACCATCTGAGTGTCTGCTCTGTCTTTTCCCTTTGAGGACAGACATCTCTAAGCCACCTTATTTATGCTTCTTGTGATGGGCAGGGGAGGTGGGGAAGGAGTACCTGGCATCCCTTTGCCTAGCACCTCAGAGCCTTCACCAATACCACCTATGACCTCCTCGGTGTTGGTCCCAGAGGTCTCTAAGTGCCATCATTGTGGCAGGAACTAGTCCTTCTACAGCAAATGTGTTTCCTGGGTCACTGTCCCCCACAGCCAGTGTCCCCTTCAGCTTACCCTTCACAAGCCAGCTGCCTGGCTTTTGTTGGCTTGGGGGTGGAGGCAGACAAAGTGCTGGACAGAGACTGAGTTCCCAGACACAGTGCAGGCCCCTGACTGGCAGGTCCTCCACCGCCCTGGCCCTGGGAGACAGAAAGGCTCTTTCCTCCAATTGACAGGGTAACTTCCTCATTAACAGTCCTGCTTCTGATGCAGCCAGTCCCCCTCCTGCAAGCTGTGGCTGGGAGGAGAGAACAGGCAGCCTTTCTCTTCTGATGTCTTCTTTAACTAGCCAGGCATGCAGGCAAGGCAGATCAAATAGTGGTTTTCTTTCCCTGTCTCTGGCGGTCTTTTTCTCTTTCTCCCCTCCCTTCCCCCATCCCTTTCACTGTCCTCCTCATCCCTATTTTCTTCCTCTCCTCCCTGTCCCCATGTCTGGGAACATATTCAGATCTTCAAAACCCCTAAAATACTGAGATTCTGCAGATGTACCTCTCGCAGATGTTGCTGCTTGGTTCCAGATCATTGCAATAAATTCAATATTGCAATGAAGGCACATGAGCTTTTTGGTTTCTCAGTGCATCTAGGTTATGTTTATACTACATCATAGAAGATTAATATGCAGCCAGGTGTGGTGGTGCACGCCTGTAATCCCAGCGGCTTGGGAGGCTGAGGCAGGAGGATCTTGAGTTCAAAGCCAGCCTCAGTAACTGGAAGGTGCTAAGCAACTCAGTGAGACCCTGTCTCTAAATAAAATACAAAATAGGGCTGGGGATGGGACTCAGTGGTCGAGTACCCCTGAGCTCAATCCCTGCCCTGGTACCCACCCTAAAAAAATATAATAGCATTGTATCTAAAAAAAAGGTAGATGCCTTACTTAGAAATGCTTTATGACTAAAAAATGCTTATGATCATCTGTACAATGGACTATGCTCCATGCGGGGTGGACACCAACCTTCACTGTGAATAAGGCCACCGCGGCACAGTGTAGTAAACCAAGCTGAGCCAATGGCACAGCCCCCACCTGTGATTCATAACAGAAGCAAAACAAACCTTAAGACACAAAGCATTTGCACGTAGAACTGCTTCTTTCTCCGCTTTCTGATTGTAAGACTCTGGGTAAGCTTATGGAGGCTGGCTTCTCTATTTCTATGCACCTGTGGTCAGGGGTTACGTTAGGTTCCCCTGAGTGTCCTAAGAGATGACCACAAACTGGCATAAAGTGACAGATGTACATTCTTGCGTAGTTCTGGAAGCCACAGTCTGAAACTGCGTGTTGGCGGGCGCTACCCTCACTCCACAGGCTCCAGAGGGGACTGTGCCTTGCCCTCCCCGGGTTCTCTCAGCTCCAGGTAGCACGGCCCCACTCTGCCTCCACGTGACCTTCCCCTCTGAGTACATGAGTCTCAAATATCCTTCCACCATGTTCTTATAAGGGCAGCTGTAAATGGATTTAGGGTGCAACCTAAATTGAGGTTGCTCTCGTCTGGAGGTCCTTACTAGAATGATAGCTACAAAACAGCCCTTTTTGGAATAAACGCATATTCACAGATCCTGGGTGGACATATCTCATGGGAGATCGCCCTTGAACTTGCTCCAGGAGAGGAAGGCGTGCACTGCTGGTACCCTAAAGGCACTAGCACATGCTGTGGTTTCCCTGATTTGCTGGGGGAGAACAGGGATCAAAGGGACGATGTTATGCTAGCAGCCTCTTCCTGACGGTGGATGTCACCAACTCACCAACCTATTTGCCTATTTCCTTTAGGATCTGGGAAATTACGGCTGGGAGGAAAGAAGGTCCTGCTTGCTTGTCTCGTTAGTGAGTCCATTCCACCTGTGTCTATTGGGCACCAATTATGGGCGTGGCCTAGGGATAGGCACTGGAATAGGGGTGGGAATCCTAAGGTGCTTGCTGTGTAGACATGCGCGGAATACAGACAGGCAAGGTTTGGTAGAAGTTAAATGCCTGATGTCATTTGAAGACCATTCTTGTCACCAAGGCCTCCCCCAGAGATTCTTGGGAGTGCAGCCCCATCCATTCAGGTTCACGTGCACGTCCACGCCACCCACTGACCTTCCCCCGTCCTCAGCAGTTTCTGGGTGCCACATAGACTCTTACAAACCTCACCAAAACCCAGCTGGGAAGTCAGAGTTCTGGTTCTTTCCTTCATGGATATGAAGCCCTAATTTTTACTATGGGTCAAGCCCTGTAGTAGATGTTGGGGACCCCACAAGGAGCAGCCTGTGTGGGGATGATATGGAACTCCACGGGAAGATCAAATCCAGGCCATTGCTAGTGAACCTCATACCAATAAGAGCTTTCTCTGTAATGGGAACTTGGCTTTCGCAGGCAGAACTGGAAGCTGTGCACTGTGATTTGGGAAATTCTTGGAAAACCAGCTGGTGCGGAATCTCTCCCCCATGCCCACTGTCACCACCCCAAATCCATTCTTTTTTTTTTCTTTTCTTTTTTTTGAGCGAAGTACTGAGGATTGAACTCAGGGGCCCTCGACCACTGAGCCTCATCCTCAGCCCTATTTCGTATTTTATTTAGAGACAGGGCCTCACTGAGTTGCTTAGGTCCTCAGTGTTGCGGAGGCTGGCTTAGAACTCAGGATCCTCCTGCCTCAGCCTCCTCAGCTGCTGGGATTATAGGCATGCCCACCACACCCTGCTCAGATCCATTTCTTAGGGTAAAGGGTTACCTTCTCTGCCTCCTCCTCCTTCTTTTTTTAATTCAAGTCTCCCCGGAAGGGGCGAAGACATTTCCTAACTGTGCAGCCCAGATACACGTTGATTCACTCCCTCAACAAACACTCATTGGGTTGCTCCTGCCCAGGCCCTTGGTGCACACTGTCTTTGACATTTTACATCAACTGTAGAAGGTAGAGAAGGAACCGAGGGCAGTGTAAAGTCACCCAGGGCTGCAGGGTCAGGGTGGCAAACCTGGGATCAGCCTCCCTGCGTGTCCATCACTAAACTGTCACCGTGCCCCCCACATTGGCCTTTCAACCCAGTCCTGCTGAAAAATGACTCTGCTGTGGGAGACCAAAAAGGGATCTGGGCCTCTGGGCCCTGGTGAGACCCAAGGAGGAAGTTGATGGATCTCCTGTCCACATCCTTTCCGCCTGTCCCCAGCCTGTGCCATTTGTCACTGTTGGTGTTGGCTTAAAGGGCGGTGCGTTGTGTCCTGTGGATGATGGATGCCCCGGGCCCGCTCACCGGCTCCTCCAGATCAGCATCAATTACCCCACCGATGGAACCTGGCTCCCCAGAAAAAAAAAAAGAAAGAAAAATGAGGTTCTGCCATTAATTTCAGTAAATGTACTATTCCTGGCGACTCCAGGAGCCATTACAGAGGAAGGAATATTCTGACTCTAAATCACTCAAGTCTCTTTGTCACTGGGGAGGAGACGGCTCCTCCGTGTTGTCTCCAGCAGTGAGGAGCTCAGGGCAGCTGGCTCGGCCCCAGGACCTGGCAGGCAAGGGTGCGTCCAGGGGAGGAGGAGGCTGGTGCAGGTGGGAGGCCCGGAGCCCGCGAGGAGGAGGCTGCACCTGTGGGTCCCCGTCTTGCTGGTTCTTTCCACTTTCCCTGGAGCCGCTCACAAGTCCCCAGACAGGAGAGCTGATTTTACCCTGCCTAGGTGTCTTTCCCATCTGTCCCCTCCTGGCGTCCTGTCTACCTAGGCAGCTTCCCTTCTGATCTGGGCTTCCATGGTTACTTCTTAGAGTCTCCCCGCTCTTCCTCCACGCTTGCTCCTCCCGGCAGAAGAACTTTCCAGAAGGAATCCATTTTACTGTGTTATTCCTTTGCTAAGAAATTTCCATAGGCTCCCTGTTGCCTTTACAACAAAGCCCAGGCTCCTTCCTGT